AAAACCGCTAAGGACAACTTCTTGAGACTATCGCGGTAACAGACCAGGGGAGGGGCCAGCTCACTGTCCTGTGGCGCTAGCCACACACTGAGTGGTGGCCAGAGCCATGTGACGCGGGCACCCTTCCATCCTTGAGTTCTACCTCCAGGAAAACTCCTCGGTCCAGCAGGGAGCGCCGGGAAGATGCCTAGCCACGCTTTCTCCCATTAGTTTAGGTTGTTAGTTACATGCGGCAGCTAGACATATTCAGGCTGCGGAAACCAGGCTGGATGTGCAGCCAGGGTCTGTGCTTCCCGGACCCAGACTCTTCTTTCAATCACCTTTCATCAAGGTCTTTATTTGAAACTAAAGTTAAGGTAGACTCCTAAACTTAATCATTTCCTATGACGCAAGAAGTCCTTGAGAGAATGTTTTGTTTTGATTGGATCTTTTTTTTAGTCTTTAAATGACATCTAAGCTTTTGTTTTTGTTTTGCTTTGTGTGTACAGAAGTGAAATTGTTTGGATTTCATTTGGAAAAGGACTGGAACGTTTATAATAAAGCTTAATCTATAAATAAAATCTTTATTTGAGTGTAAGTATATCAGATAAAACTTAGAGGGTCTGTCTTTTTCTTACCTACTACCTTAAATAAAACTAAATAAAGAGAACGTGGTATTTCAGGAAGTAACTACATATTAATTCAATCAAGGAAGCAAAGATAATCTGATTTCATTGGCTTAAGTTTTATCTTCTTTAGTGTCTCTTAAGAACGACAGCTCCTTTAGTTTAAATTATAAATTTGATAGTAAGACTTCATCTACTTAATAGCTCATGTTATTACCTATTAATTGAGGGCCATACTATACATTTGAAAACCAAATATTTGTATGATTTTCTCATGAATTCTTTCTGTCCTGCTAGAGATACCTGGTAGCTTCTGTTAGGATGTCTTGATATTTGACACATGTGTCTCAAAGGTACCACATACAAACAAGCCGATGAGGAAGGTGAACTAGACACGGATGATGGGCTGGTTCCTGACCGGAGCCAGCAATGTGCATATGTACTTAATCAAGCACAGGGTTCTTGACACTTCTACTACTCCTACAATATAAACTGTGACTTGTCTTAGACATCTGTGATGAGAAATATACCGGTGAGTATCACTAGTAATACCCAAGTCTTCAGATAGAGAAAAAGCCAATTCCTACCTCCATCTCCAGATCCTGATCCTGCATCTGAAAGGAAGAGAAGAAAAAAAAAAACAAAAAACAGAATTTGTACATAGTTGACAACCATATTAAAATAGGAGTCTTTAAAGCACAAGTTTACTTTCCTAATTTAAGACTATGCTATAGTTGTTTATGAAATTTATTAATACTTAATCTGATAAAGTATGGCCACATTAATTAGTTCAACTTATTTTCCATTTACACAATGCATAAAATAAGTTCTCTGTCAGTATTATTTGTATAATCTTTACCGGGAATGTATTATCAACTTTAGGAAAACTCCTAAAATTGACTGCCCCAAACCCCTCAATTTAGAACTAGAATTTAGATGCTCTAGCCAAACAAAAGTAGAGGTGCTTAGAACAATCAGCATTTTATAAATTAAACAATCTAATGCACACAGCAAAGAAACTCATAATTATTTATGTTACTACAAACTGATAGAAACAAAAAAGAAAACTTACAATTAGATCTTTAGATAATTGGTAATATGTTTAGACATACCACAATTTTTTATAACTCATATAAAATGAAGTTTTTCTTTCTGCAATGAAAGAAAGGGAGGCAGAATCCTTGCCTTCATATTAAAACCTGAATATGTGCTGGGGGCCTGGCAGGACCACCTCCCTGGTTCCTCCTTCTCCACCTGCACCTTGCCATTCCTTCTGTACAGTGATGATTGCTCAACATAATCACAACAGGAAACTGCCTACTTGATTTTTTGTGTTTTTATTTTTTAGTACAGGGTCTACAGGGTTTCACTACATAGATTGGACTCATAGTGATCCTCCTGCTTTCAGCCTCCCAAGTGTTGGGATTACAGGTGTGCACCACCACGCCTACCCTCAATTGCTATCTCAGCGGGCCCTGGGGGCGGTGACAGCACAGCAGGCCTGGGGATTGAACCCCTGGCCCCTGTGTCTGCCTAAGGAAGTGTTTTAATCCACTGACCTATTTGGCCAGCCCTGGAAACTGCCTACTACTGGGAACTCAGTTCCAGGATCCACGCAGCTCCTGTTGTAGTCAGGACCACCACTCAGTTCCCATCGCTTCTGTCTGTCAACATGGGCGTCCTCCACCCTCTGTCTCCCTGCCTTTTGAGTGGATTCATCAGGTTAACGCTGGGAAATGACACTGATGCTAAAATTCCCTCTCTGCGGTGCCACTGTCCCACACTGCAGTCTCCAACAGGGCTTAACGCTTAGGTCAGATATCACTTCCGTGAATTTGCATTTGATGTTTTAGTCCAATCAAAAGAAAGTACTGCTTTTTTTCCCTATCTCCAGGACACTAGCAAGGAACCTACAGTGGTGATGCTTGGAATCCCAGCACAATGGGAGGCTGAGGCAAGAGGATCACAGGTTTGCGCTCAGCTGGGGTAGCTCAGCAAGTCAGCAAAACCCTATCTCCAAAAACAACCAAAGTCTGGGGATGCAGCTCCAGGATTCAACTCCAGTGCCACACAGACACACAGACACACAGACACACAGACACACAGACACACACACACACACACACACACACACACACACTGCACAGAATGTGGCTTGGTGGATGGAAATTCAAATACAGCAAACCCCAAATGTAAGTGAAAAAGAAACAACAGAAAAATGCAGCAGTGGAGAAGCGGGAGGCAGAGAGGGGGAATGGATGCGGCAGGGGATCTGATCAGATGGGGAACGTACCCATGCCGAGAGAGGTGTAACTATTATATGCCACAAACATAGGCTCAAAGAGTAAAGAAAACTCTCCAGAAGGCTGTCACAGCGGGAGGAATGCGCGCCGCTCTGCCCACCCGCCTCCTGCGGCACTGCTGCTCCCAGGAAGGGGCAGCGGCTGACCTGTTGGTCCTGGAGGCAGCCACAGGCTCTAGCACTGTGCTATGTCCGCATGTCAGTGCACTAACTGGCAACTGACGTTAGTGGGCACTGCAACGAGCTGTAACAGCTTGTCTTTAAAAGCAATAAAGTGGCAAAATCATTTATAATAAAAAAAAAATTCTTAGTAAACATATAACCAAACAAGGATTTTAGTCACATGATTTGAAAGTTCAACAACAAGAAAGAGAGACATTTCAGGAATAAAAGGCTATTCTTTCTGACTGGCATGATACTTGTCAATGATAGCATCTTTCTTTTGAACAGGACAATCTTGAATAATCAATATTTGCTAAGCTTCCCCTTATAGTATATTTTCCAAGATAAAATTATAATTGTCTTTATTCAAATTAAATTGAAAGCTTCAGTAGTATTTGTATCCATCAGGGACTAAATCATAGATTGTACCATTGTGGAGTTAATCTGTCCTACCTTAATTTAGTTGAATATCTTTAATCTCCTTCTGATTTGCTATAAAGTCATAAACTCAGGGACAATGGAATGGCCTCCTCTGGCACTTGTACACACGAGGAGGCTATGCAAAAGCTTCACAGTTGCAAGCTCCAGACCCTGCTCTACAGAGGACATAATAAATGCTACGTAGCTTTCCTAGACCTGGTCTTCTTCTGCTTAATGAGTATAGGAAAGTCATTCACATTAGGCTGGCTATTTTGAGGTCTGCAGTACAATGGTTTATTTTAAATGTGTATGAATTGTTTGGAACAGAATAATTACAATATTGAGCAAACAAATCTACTCATCAATTGGTTTTCTAATAAATATGTATGGCTGAGGAAAATCAGGAAAAAAAGTAATAGTATTTTGGTTTGTATTTTCCTCGGGTCTCTAAAAATTCAAGAGGCATGGTTCTGGGCTGGAGTGAGGGCACAGGCACAAGACTCTAATCCCAGTACTCTGGGAGGCAGAAGCAGGCAGATCACAATTTCAAGCCCAGCCTGGCTAACATAGCAACTCAAGGAGACCCTGTTTCAAAGTATAAAGGAGGCTGAGCCCGGAAGGCAGCTCCGACAGAAGGCCTTGTGTTCCACCCGGAGCCACCAACAGGGAGTGGGTAAGGTGCTGAGGATGACCAGTGTTCACCTTGACCCAAATTAATGAAATAGAAAAAAAAAAAAAAAAAAAAAACAGAGTGGGCAAAACGTTTGGAGAAATGATCCCCTGAGATCCTGGCTTCATTATGAAATAGATATTAAAAAACCCCTCATGTTTTCTCGATTACAAGGCGAGCCAGCTTGGTCAACAGAGATAACCAGCTAGTAGGAACAGACACAGCAAAGAAAGTCATGATGCTGCCGGGCTTGAATTTGGGTTCACAGAGATATACCTCACATAAGGAAAGAAGTTAAACTGACACTGAGGTAGTTGAGGACACTGTCCAAAAAGAAACTATTTTCTGGACGAAAAGAAATACATATTTTTAAGTTCAATGAATACAACAAATATAAATTATAGCTTCTATGGGTTTATTTCTACAAATTACAATTTACCACCTCCAGCTAGTGTCAAACAGCAATAAAAAAGAAGAAAAAAAGTGAGATGCCTTCTTAGATTACAAGGCAGAAGCACAATTTATTTGCAGTCATTCCTAGTTATCAAAATGATCTTGGGCCAGTGATAGCTCAGCAGACTAAGTGGCCTGCTTTGGAAAGTGCACAGACCAGGGTTCCATCCCCATTCCCGCCTGCTGCACAGACCCCGCCCCCAGATACACTGAGCTGGACAATGAGCCCGGGCGTGGAGGCACTCCTGTAATCCCAGTGCTGGGGAGGCTGAAAACAGGAGTATCACTATGAGTCCGAGCTGCATAGTGAGACCCTGTACCAAATACATAAGTAAAAAAATAAAATTAAATAAAACTTCAAAATGATTTTGGTCTTTATATGGTCAGATGGATCCAAAAGCTCTTTAGAAGAACCACTCAGTGGAAGGGACTCTCCGCAAAACTGGCTCTCTAAGCTGTCCTATGCACATCAAAGTGTGTAAATGAGCAAAGGGCAGCTTACTCTGCAGTGACAAAACTCCCCGCTTAGCTAAGAGCTGATTTTCGTAGTACAACCAGCACACTAGGGACTAGAAGGAAAGAAACGTGAATGAATCAGGAGACTGTGGCTGCACAGCTGATGGGAACGCAGAGGCTGGCCAGGAAGAAGCAGGGGTTTCTGCTACCAAATGTCATTTGGCATCACTGTAACTCCAGATCAGTCTGTTGTAGCTACCATTCACTGGGCCTCAAGAAGAAAGGCTGCTGTCCTTGAGCCCGTGGAAGCTAATCCTTTCTGAAACACTCTGGCATCTGCCTACAAGCTTCCTGGCATTTGGGCAACAAAGTTCTATTTTTTTTCCTGTTCCATTTATTGTACAGGATCATTTTTCATTTTTTGTTCCTTTGGTACAGCTGACTGACTTTTCATAATTAGTTTGCCTCTTGTCTTTCTTCGGTCTCCCATCCCTGTGCAAGCAGCTTGCTGTCCCTTCATCCCTGCCAAGAATGCCTGTCCAACACCTCTGCTCTGCTGTCACGCTGCTCCTGACTTCTCACCCAAAGCCCTCAGCTGTGACCAGTCCGCCCTCAAGGAAGAAGCACTTGAAGCTCTGTTCCAGCCTGCTTTATAAGCCTTTTCTAGAAAGGGCGGTCCCATCCTGAGGCAAGAAGTCATTGAGGAGAGAAGAGTACTTAACCAAAACCAGAACCCCTAGATCACTTGTGTATAAGAAATGACACCAATTCTTATCTGTTTAATTTTTAGTAGCATTGGAAGTCATCAGTACTTTGTTTTTTTAATCAGTACTTCTTAAGATATTACTAATCACTAGCAATCAGTGGACATGATAATCTTTTTAAGGAAGAGGAAACCCTTCTCCTTGCTGGATTTCCACCCTGCCTCAGGCATGAAGCCCATAACTATCATTCCGATGTCCTGAGGTAGGAATAACTGTTTAATTAAGAAGGGTTATGGAATAAAATACTTTTCCTGCTACTACACTTTGCTTCTAGCTTTGAAAGAAGTTTATGTTTTGTATCATTATTATTTTTTCTGAACATAAATGCATTACTGAATGCTTACTCGCCCTTCAGGATGAGTATCAGGAGACATGGAAGTTTCTTTAATTTAAATGATGTAGATAGCTCAGTCTTCACCAGAAGAATGAAAGCACTGCTTTCTGGAGCTGTACTCCTCTTATCCCCCTGCCCTGTAATGCTGTCAAGGTCTGATAACTAATACACAGAAGGGAATCTGGAGGCAATGGCAAGGAAGTCACTTTCTTCCCAGGTTTCTTTGCGGCATTCTTGGTACAACCAAGTAAGAATGTTTTGTTGAATCTCGAGTCAGCTGTGTCAGAAGGGCTGAACTTGGGCCTACGTTACGTCTCCCACCAGAACACTCCAATGCAGTCAGTAAACAGTAAGCAGACCATTCTGCAGAATTACGGGTGCTATAGGTCTTAACTTTAGAACTCAAATTTGCTAAGCTGGTCTCAAACAGATAATTCTAGTTTTCCAAACCAAACATGCAAAACAAAAACTTTATCCTTCCATACACAGATTTCTTTATATAGGTATCTGGCTGGACCACTAAGCGTTATGGTCAGTGTTTGATCTATTCAATTATACCTTATTCAATTATCTGTACTTTATTAAATAATACATGTATTTAAATCAACCAATGTCTTTAAGATCCACTTGCTCTTTCTCCCCACAACTGATTTCAAATATAACCAGGAACAAGGCCAATTCATGCCTCACACAAGAGGACAAGAGGCCTGTTCAGGCACACATAGAGTCAACTATCTGTCTGGAGATAACACAACAGGAACTTGAGTTTGGGGTTCATACCTGTGGCGCATGACCCTTCGGCCGCCACGAGGATCTCGCTCTGCTGTTTGCATGCCGCCTGTCGCAGGTAGCACTCGTTCTGGTAGCTCTCGCCATTGGAGCCGCACACAGGTACATAGTCACTGTTGCACTGGGAACAAACACACGGCCATGAGCCTGTGGTTAGACTGCAGCCTGCGTTCCTCTGGTACCCTGAACATAAATAACCACTTACAAAACCCCACGTGTCCCCACTGTCAGTGATCCCCACAGGATCCTGGAAGCCCTTAGCCACATGCTCGAAAGATACCCATGGGCCAGCGAGATAGCTCAGCAAACTAAAAGCCTGCTTTGGCAAGTACAGGGACCAAGGTTTGATCCCTGGTCCTGCGTGCTGTGCTGGCCCCGCCCCGTGACACACAGAGCTGGCGACCAAGTCTGAGTGTGGTGGCACATGCCTGCAACCCCAGTGGTGGAGAGGCTGAAAATTTCAAGTCCAAGCTGCATAGTGAAACTCTGTCCCAAATATATAAATGAAAAAAGAAAAAAGAAAGATACCCAAAGGCGGCATCCAGTCAGCCAACTGGTCATTTGATTTAGAGGAGGGAACAAACAAACAGGACCTGAATTAACTGCTGATTCCAACAGTGACTGCAGAAGGAGGAGGCAGAAGACGCAGCAGCAAAGAATCAAGACTCTCTAAGATTGCTTTTCTGCACTACAACCCAACTGACTCGTGGAGAAAACTTAAACCACGCTGTAACATTCAATCTGTTCAAAACAAAGCAATTATCTGCATTTGGAGCGAAATGCTTACCAAGATGCAAAGAATCCAGTTACTGCTTGATTTTTTTTTCCTACTGACTTTTGGATTTTATACATCTTTGGCTATACAGATAAGATACATATATTTACTAACTCATATTACGAGTCTTTAAAGCAGTGGAATTTGATGGTGATACCATCTAGAATCAAGATCGCATGATACAGAGAAAAAAAATTAAACGGCTATGGAAGTACAGGTAAACACCACTGGCTGCTCCAAAGTCTGACTGTCCATACGCATTTCAGAAGGAGAGAAGTTCATTTTTAAAAACAATACCATTATAAAAGTACACATTTTTGCAATGGAAATGAAGCAACCTAGTGGGCATAGTCATCACAGGATAATCACACCCTAAGGCATTCGAGATACTTGGCTGTGTCCCACACCTGCTAATTACAACAAGGAGGTGATTATCCATGATTACTACTACTGATGCACTTCATTGTTTAATTATAACAAATGTAATGATTAAGATGATTTTTTTTATAAATGTTTACTTATGCCAGAAACTAAGGAACATCTCTCATTCAGATACATGTGCAAATGCTCTGGTTTCAATGTTAAGTAAAACAGTTGGACTGTTGATTCTCAATAAGTTGATGATACATACAGAAACACAATGACTTCATGGGCGGCTATGGAAGTTTAACTGCTATGATAATAAACCTAAAACTATCACAAGTATACCTCTAGTCAATGATTTGTGCAAAAGGAAAAATAAACACTGAATCTGATTGTTAAATATGTAAGATAAATGTTTATGCTAATTTCTGATAATACATACATGATAATGTATATACTTCCTTTTAACCAACCATTTAATTCTTGCTTTCTGACTTTGTACAATAGCTCCGTCATTCTGACAAATTCACAAATGGGGTAAGCCAAGGTTTTCTGAAATAAGTCTTATGACTCTTTCTATTAATTGGTGAATAAAGTAAGTATTACATGCTACTAATTTTGATCTACTCCTCCTTAAACTATCAATTCAAACAATATCACACCCAAATTATGACGCTACTAATTGCTAGTAGGATGAGCAATTATTTCACAACCTTCTTCATCCTTATTTCATACAATTCACAATCCAGACATTCTGAAAGTCCTCTAGGTAACAATTCTTTTCCACAGGTAGATAAATGGTTTCTAGACTCAGACTATTTGTATGATATATTTTAAAAATTGACTTGAGTGGAAATTTTTGCTAAGCTTTCACTAGTCTTGAACTCAAGCAATTCATTTCTAAGCAGGTAACACCTTATTAAGGAGAAATATATACATGTATAATTTAATTCTATGTATATAATAATATACTATATTATATAATTGTATGTGTTTAATTGTATATTTTTAAATCTGTATACATACATCTGCTTCCATCTGAAATCTGGCCTGCAGCTAGGCTACTATCGAGGGAGGAGGCACAGCCAAGCATCAGTGAATGCTTCACTGTTCTCCGAGCAGCACTGGCCAGAGAGGGAATCAATGGGGCTGGTGTTCCTATGAGGCTCAGGGCCAGCGAGGCCACTGGGTGTGTGGCTAAGTGCCTGCTAGAGGCGCTGTGCTCAGGACCTGGGACAGGAGACTGCAGGTAGGGCTCATAGGCTCATAAACAATGAAAGGAGCTCTGGAGAACACAGGAGAGATCGGGAAGAAGAAAGGGCCGGCACTCCATGGGCAACAGACCTGCTAACTCCTGCAGGGGCACATGGGAGACAAAAGCAGCATGGGCGGTAGGAGGAGCTAACTCCTCCAGCTGTGGTTCCAGCACCCTTGCCACCATGGGGACTATCTCTGAACCTCTGGATTTAACTCTGGTTACCATACTTCATGAACAGAGTTTTGGGCCCACTCTCTTCTGCTCACTCCCTAAAATTTCTCTCCTCATCCCTCTGCAGATCACGCAGGCATTCAGTCAGGGGCCTGGGAGTGGGGAGTGGGAAGTATTTATTATCTCTGTCAAGTGCTATTACACAATGCTGATAGGCATCTTAAAATATCAAGTAAACTGATAGAGCGCTCATGTGTTGCTTCCGAAGAGCGCAGGGAGCCAAGCGCGAACAGAGCTAACGTGGAGCTGCCAAGGCCCAGGCACAGCCAAAGGGGGATTTGCGTGGAGCTGCGAGCAGCTGAACAGTAGACCATCCGCGATGCTTCTGGCCCTAGCACCACGACCCGCTCGACTAGCATGAACAATCCAAGAAAGAAAACTCTCCAGACCTTCGAAGCTCAAGAGCAGGAATCCTGTCCTGGGGCCTTCAGTCTCCTTCTTTGTTGTAGAACCTTTTGCACGTAACTCAATGATTAAATACTTAACAACTTTGTGGCTTAACTTCTCCATTTGAAATAGTTAACTGGGATATATTTGGGGAGATTTAAGAAGTTGGTTATTAAAATATGAGATAGTATGGCAAATCGTCTATAAAACATAAACCATTTGCCCCCCGACATGTATTTTAACCAGCAAAGTTAACACGTAACAATGCCGACATATGGCATTTCTAGAATTAGAAAACAAAGGAAAGCAGTAATACCCTCTGCGTGAAAACAGGCTCACCACTGCACAGAAACACGCCAAATTGCTGGAAATAGTTTTCAAGGGTAATCATGACATTGCTGTTTCTGATGAAGGGACAACTTCAGATGCTAAATGACTTACTAAAGGCCCCATAATTGGCTGGTAAAAGATAAAACAAGACTCATGAGCAGATGGCGAAGTCCATGAATGTATGCGCTGTACAAACTTTCTCTCAGAAGAAAAAGGGATTCTATTTTTCTTAAGATGTTTTTAAAAATCTTAAGTTTATTTTCCAAATATGTGTTTTTCAATTAAATGATTCTGACTCCAAAATTTTCTCAGGGCTTAAGAAATCAGCTATATACTACAATAGTGGATTCAACAACTTGATACATCAGAATATATGGAATTCAGTTTTGCTATGAATGAATAATGCGGGAAGCTTTTCCTATCACTTATTGCTTGTTTGGTTAGTAAGGTCAATTTTCGGGCCAGCCAGATAGCTCAGTGGACTAAAGTGCCTGTTTAGGCAGAGCGCAGAGCCTGGGGTTCGATCCCCTGCACCACAAGCCTTGCCAGCCCTGCCCTCAGGGCACGCACCTGTAATCCCAGAGCTTGGGAGGCTGAGAACAGGAGGATTACCAGGAGTCCGATCTACATAGTAAGACCTTGTAGACTGTGTACTAGATACAATTTTTTTAAAAAATTACGGTTTTTTTTAAGCTGATGTTTCAGCATCTAGAAGCTACGTATGACTTGTGTTTTACATGCTGTCTACACCTTCCAGACTCTGGCATGTAGAGAGTGCTCAGCAGATGTTAAGTGAATTCTGTTATATTCCCAGTTGTCAAAGGCTTAGGAAGAATTGTTGGGGATGTGGCATATTTCTCTTCCAAAAAATAAAAAAGATAAAAATCTTGCACATGTTGCAGTTGTCTGACCACTCATGCGGACTTTCGCTTTTGTGACTGCAATGTCTTCCACACAGGCTGCGGCAGTTTTCTCACTAAGGTGAAAGGGATTCTCTCTGGCTTCCCTAGCTGGGTCACCGAAAGATCCACCCGGCTCCATGTCTCTCTCTGGGTACTCGCCACTGACATGCAGCCATGAGCTATGCAGAAGGGCCTATTATCCCAGATAGAGCAATGAACAAGAAGAACGAAGGTCCGCAGCTGGGGGTCAGGCATGAGTCAGAAGCCCGAGAGGCATGGAGCACCAACCTGAGTGGGTGCTCTTACCCCTAACCTAAAGAAAAGACTCTGGGGAGGAGCTGATCCCGACGAGCCTTGTCCAAGCTGCGGATTCATGAGTAAAAGAGATGCTCATGGTCTTGAACTGCTGAATTCTGGGCAACTTTTCCTGCAGCCCTAGCAACCAGGCCATCTGCAGATCTACAGGATGGCTTACTAAATGAAAATAATTCTGGAATCAGATAATACATGTAAAGCATTCAGGCTTCATGATGTTTTTAAATCATTAAGAGATTACTGATTATTGTATACCAGCACTAAGAATGACTCTGTTTCTCTTCCACCCTCTTCTTTCCTTTTCTCCCTTCCTGTTTTCCTTTCATGCATCCATTTATCATCTATCTACTTCTTCTAAACATCCATCCTCACGTACAGTGTAAGAATGCTGAGCACACCAGTTGGTAGGAAGGCAGGAAGGTGGGATCCGGGAGACCACCGGGCGTTCTCCAGTTCATGCTATCACCTAAGAATGAGCTGTAGAAGGGGATAAACCTTGTCTAAAAATATTGGGAGAAGCAATGTTTCAGATTTTGGATTTTTGGCGATTTTGAAACGGTCGCACAGACTTTATACCTGAGGACCCCTAACCTAAAAATCTAAATGGTAAAGTGTTGAAAATCCAAAACTTTTTGAGCGTCGTGCTGAATTTTATATCACTGTGCAATGTGAATTTGCAGATTAGGGATGGTCAACTTGTTTTGATTTGGATAGTAACAGTTACCTACAACAAACTGGCATTCTTGTTGTATTGTTGTTGTGTTATTATCAAATTTACTCTCATGTAGAATATTTTGAGAAAACATGGTTAATGGCAAAAGACCTAGAGACGAATACGAACCTTATCACTTAATGGTAAATTACTTGTATTTACAGGCCTTAACTGCTTCATCTGTTCACAGAAGAGAAAATAATTGTCCAATTGCAAGAAATATGACAATATGCTTTAAAAGGAGAATGGTTTACTGAAACTTATCTAAAGAAGTGAAAATTGATTCACGTTAGAGCTTCAACCATGATCCAGATTAGAAGACACAGATTATACACATATGTGCCCATTGCTCTTCCAAAATTGCTTCTCAGCCAGAAAGACCAAGTGTGCATTCCACTCTGAATGGAAGAACTCTTACAGTACAGGAGAAACACAAGTTTGGAATTGTACATAAAACAGTAACTTTTCTGGCTCAATAGTACCCCCAGAACAGACCAAACCAAACCAAAAGAACTCAACCAAAATTCATGTACAAGTATCAGTAACAGACTGAATCAAGGTATTTTTAGATTAAAATATCCTATGGGTGATTCTTCTTACATGTGTACTATATTTTTCTCAAATTTCAACTATAT